GTATTGAGGCTGTTAATTTATGCCTTCAGCCCCTTAGGGAGTGGCATGTGTGTTTGCCTTTAAGGCAAAGGAGCCTCCAGCATTGAATTGCCTGGTAGAGATCCGCACTCTACCGCAGGCACACAGCAGCCTGTTTGCCATTTCTCAAGTTCTGATCTTGTGTGGCTTTCTGTAAACTCTCAAAGTATCAGGGGAAATTTCCCCAGTCTGACAATGAGGCTTTAAAAGGTGCGAAGTGCCATTTTAACTGCTAAAAGCGTTTTTGCCAGTTGCCAGCCTTATGGAACATTAGGAAAGGCACGAGGCATGAGTTCGGCAGTTGACAGTTTCCTTCATTTGCATATTCAAAATGGCGGCTGCAAGGGCTTTTAACATGACAGAAATAGCTGCTAGCTTCTCTGAAGATAAAGGCTGTCCACAGAGAGTTGAGGGGAACCCAGAACTTGACCAGGGACCCTCCACTTCAGTTGCTGCTGAGGAAAGAGTCAGCCAGTCCCACAAGAAGGGAAGCAAAGTGACTGCTAAGTCAGCCAGATCCAAAAAATCAGAGATTCCTTACAGATATGAGAAACAAAAGACTCCGGAAATTTTTTTGCAAAAAGGTCTCTGCCTCTTTAACACCAGCAGGCAGGGATGAAAGGGAGGCTTCCCCAGAGTTAAGACTTCCCATTGACACCACAGCCATATGGGACTCTTTACATGATCTTCACGATTCCCCTAACCATGGGAATTTTGGAACTCTTTTTCAACAGTTTGGGGCAGACTTCTCTGGGCCATCTACGTCTCAGGGATTTCAAACTTCTGCCAATCCTATGTTTATTCCAATGTGTATACCTGATATGCAGGATTTCATAGCTCAAGCTATTGAAAGGGGTATAGCAGCCGGTCTGCAATGTAAGCAGGGAGACCCACAATCGTCGGGTCCACTGGCAGCTGCTTCTGGACCTGCGAGAGAGGAAGCCTCTTGCGCAGCAGGGGAGCCGGACACTGTACCAGCACAAGGAACCATGTCACCACTTCCTACCCAAGATGACGTTGCTTCACTTCCAGAGGAAGGTGAGGTAAGGAAGACTAATCTTTCCAAGGACGAAGGCATGGAGCCAGACCAGTCCGCATTCTCTGGATTGTTTTAGTCATCCCTCTTTAAATCTTTGTTATTCAAAGCTAAATCATCTGTCAATCTAGGGGTCAAGGCGGCTGCCCCCCCTGTCCGTAGTCAGCCTATTTCAGCTGAGACTGCAGACACCACGATTGAGGCTGACTCAGTACCTACGCCCAAAATATTTGTCAATTTAGTGCAACGTCTGTGGATATCTCCCACATCTGGGCCTATGCCCACCTCCACTGACAAAAAATATTTTAATGTGGATAAGGACTTGGCTCAAGTGTTACAGCTCCCTACCGTAGATACACCAGTTACGGCTCTGTACACCTCAGCTACTCTTCCGAGAGTGCCAGAGGACACTTTAAAACCTGAGGATAAGAGAGCAGATTCTTACTTTACAGCAAGGGCATCAGGCCGCTGCTTGGGCCATCAGAGCTTCCACCACAGCATTCTTTTTCACACGCTCATGTTTACTTTGGTTGCAGAATCTGCAGCAACACATTCCAATTGTGGATGTCAGGACCTTAATAAAGTGGTGGCAGCAGTGCAGTTTACCTCTGACGCTAGCTTGACTTCAGCTAGGTTTGCAGCTAGGGCCTTATCTTCTTCTGTAGCCATATGCCGACAGCTTTAGTTGCGCCAATGGTAGGCGGACGTCTGCCACAAGTGTTGTCCGACAACAGCCCAATTTAAAGGCAGCTCTCTGTTTGGAGATTCTCTTGAGCCATTCCTTATTGAAAACAAGGACAAGCGGAAGGTACTCCCTACAGCCACCAGGAAGGGATTTTCTCACACAGCCCTGTATCCGAGGCGCCCTGCCTTTCATGCCCCGGATTACAATTCTTCCTTTCGGAACCTGGACTACGGTTCATCCTTTCAGAGTTCCAATTATGGATCCGGGGGCTTTAGACAGCAGGACGGGTACAACCACAGACAGAGGCAGCAATTTGACAGTGACCAATGGGGCAGGCAGGCCAAGTGGCCACTCCACAGAGGGGTAGGCTGCTCCTATTGCTGCAACTAAAATTGAGAAGACTGACCATCCCATTGGAGGCCGGCTGGCCCTTTTTGCTGATCAATGGGATCCGTCTACGTCAGATGAGTGGGTCAGGCACACAGTCAGGCAGGGACTTTACCTCAAGTTTCTCTCCATAACCCCCAGGTTTTTCCGGACCTGCCCAGTCTCCAGAAACCCGGCTAAGGAGGCTCTAATGCAGGAGGCAATCCAGCATTTGCTGGACATTCGGGCCATCCAGCCGGTACCTAAACAATAGGGACTGGGCTTTTATTCCTTACTGTTTGTGATTCCCAAAGCCTTGGGGGGCTGGAGAGCCATTCTCGATTTAAAAAGGTTGAACCGCTTTATTAAATATAGAAGGTTCAAGATGCACTCCCTACAATCAATCTTGGGAGGCATCAGACAAGGTAATTAACTTACTTCCATCGATCTAACGGAGGCTTACCTTCATATACTTATTTCCCCTTTGCACAGGAAATATCTAAGATTTTATTATCTCGGCCATCACTATCAATATAGAGTCCTGCCATTTGGCCTTTCTTGTGCCCCCAGGGTTTTTACCAAAGTTTTGGCAGCACTGGCAGCGTATCTCTGGGAGATACCATAAGGCTGCAGTGCTATTTGGATGATATTCTCTTGCAAGCTAGATCTGCAGCGCAGGCTATCAGAGACCTGGAAGTCACTATCCACACACTGCAGGCTCATGGATTTTCTGTCAATATTTCCAAGAGCCATTTGATACCTACCACTAGACTAGTACATTTAGGTGCCTTGATTGACACTCGCCACTGTTCCTATCCTCAGACAGAGAAACTAACCTCAGGGAGTTAGCATGGGAGGTAGCCAAGGAACGCTGGGTAGCATTGGCTAAATTGTCCCGGTTGTTGGGCACCATGGTATCTGCCATAGGGATTGTGCCTTGGGCATGATTTCACACCAGGGATCTCCAATGGTGTCTTTTGCTCTTTCAGAAAAGATCGTTGAGTTGCTCCCTGGCCAAGATCAACCTTCCTGTGGAGGTCATCCACTCCCTCCTTTGGTGGAGATCCCCTGCAATTTCCAGGGGAATTTGCTTCAAAGTTCAAGACAGACTGATTCTCACTACAGACACCAGTCTGACTGGCAGGGGGGAACGACATTCAGTCACAAATGGCTCAGGGCCTGTGGAGCCAGGAGGACCGACTGCACAGTATAAACTGGTTAGAATTGCGGGCGGTTCACCTGGCTCTAAGACAGTTCCATCGTTCTGTGGTAGGCAAACATGTTTTAGTCCTCACAGACAATGTTTCCATGAAAGCGCATATAACAGACAAGGGGGTACCAGGTCCAACTCACTGATGCAGGAGGCCAGCAACTTGGGAACTTGGGCCGAGGCCAACCTATTGTCCTTAACGGCGGAACACATTTCGGGGGTGACGAACATGCAGGTTGATTGGCTCAGCCGAACATTTGTGGACAATGCAGATTGGCACCTGCACATGTTGATTTTCTGGAACATTGTGGACCGCTTTGGCCTTCCAGTCATCGACTTGTTCGCCAACCCTCACAATACTCAGCTTCCACGCTTTTACTCAAGATTCCCAGCGCAGTGGGCGGAAGGGGTCGATGCGCTCCACTGCAGCTGGCCACGAGGCCTTTTATATGCTTTCCCCCCTCTTCCTATCCTGCCGAGGGTGATTCAGAAGATACTGAATGAGGCAGCGGAAGTCGTACTGATTTCCTTTCATTGGCCCCGTCGGCCTTGGTTTGCCGACTTGCGGTCATTGTCAGTGGACAGACCCTGGAGGATCACTCGGGAGCAGATCTCCCTCAGCCAGGGGTCGCTGGAATATCCAGAGCCTCATTGTGCCAGAGCCAAGGTGGCGCAGTGGTTAAATGCAGCACTGCAGGCTACTGCTAGATCAGCAGGTCAGTGGTTCAAATCTCACTGGCTCAGGGTTGACTCA